TAACATCTGCAACTGCATCGGAATGAATGTCACCCAGACCTACCTGAAAGGCTTCTTAATCTAGAGGTTCTCTCTTATAGCGTTGGGCCTCCCACTCTAGATCATGTATGTCCTTCCTGACAAGCCTGGTTGGGGGAATTGTATACAGTATTAGCTGGCCCGGTCCGCTTTGCCGGCCCGTAGATTTAGTCTTTAATGCATAATAATTCAAAGATCTGGCTCACATAAGTGGCACAATTTTAAGTATAAATGATGACGCGACTAAATAGGAATAAATACGCGTCGCAAAAATGTCAATACATCTTCACGTAATGGGTGATTTATAGTGATTCAAAAAACCTGATCCTATTTTTCAGAAAGTATCGACGGGAAAGACCCATGCTCGAGACATGAGTACAACAAACTTATTACTTGGTCGTCACAACATTTTATAACCTCTTTTAAGACTTAATTGGTTATTCCATCGAGGCAAGGCGCTTTTTTGTCATCGAATTTCGATGCAGCAAGATTTATCTCGGCTAATGTAACAGGGGGATAAGGGAAGGCTCCACCGGGGTCATATGTATACCATGATGTTTCCATTTGGCGAGGAAAAGGATGGTTCACGATGTTATTTCGAGTTTTAACATCCGTAGGCGCATTTGAACGGAAGCATTTCAGTTTCTTTGTCACGAGCTTGTAGGCTATGCCAAACGGCTGAATTTCTACATCATCGCAGATTGTGAGACCTGCACATTCAGCTGTGTGGTCAGCTCCGCAGACCATGTGTTAAAGAGTGTGGGCGTTGATTTCGTGGCGGATATTTTCATATTCCTCGCATGGAAGTATTTCTGAATCAATTTTTGGGCAACGCATATTTTCTCCAATTCCACTGAGATGGTCTCCGAGGTAAGGTCCCGGAAATTGTAAGGTTCATGAGTCGGAAGAACATCAACGTCGCAGCAGTCCAGGAAATGAAGCTGAATGCCACCTGTATGCTTCAAAGTTGTGATGGATATAACATATTGAGGAAGGATGTGGGAGGTTAGCGTCCCTATTTCACCTCACTGGTATTAGAAAATGAGCTAGTTGAGCTACGCCGTACCAACCCTAATAATCCCAGAATCAGGGAACTTACTCTGGAGGTAAACAGGTTAGAACAGTGGCTAGAACATCTGAAGCATTGCAACATCAATACCGAATCGAGTTAATTTGGTGGCAACGGTCAAGTCGCTCTCTAACTCTTGAAAAAAGGATGATCGGACATATGTCTCAATTAACGGCGAAGAAGTGACAGATCCGAAGTAGAAGTGACAATTAACGGCGTAGAAGTGACGTGTTATTTCAACCGGCAATTTATAGAGCACCCCGAGAGTGAAATGGATAAAAGAAGGATCCTACGACGTGTACGATCTCTCCCAGCCGAGGAGGTAACCCCACAATTTACATTGGAAGATGTTGCAAAATTTATCCAAAGCGCTCGATTCTGACGGAATCTCTGTGGTGATGTTGATGAATAAGGAGTTGAGTATCACACCAAACTCCTCAACCTGTCGTTAGCCACCCCAATAGTTTCTGATGACTGGAAAATGGGCAGGGTGGTCCCGTTACTGAAGCTAGGCAAGGATGCCAGCGAAAGTGATTCATACAGGCCGATATCACTTTTGTTACCAGTAGTAAAGACACTTGAGGCTGACTATCTACACGGATTCCAGAAATTGCGTAGCGCAACTACACGTTCATGGAATTCAGAAACAAGAAGTCGAACATCCGTAGAGTAAAACAGGGAGTTCCCCAAGGTGGGGTGATATCTCCGGACATTCCACGCCCTCCAAACGCATAGAGATAATAACGTACGCAGATGATTTTACTCTCATGGCGTCGGGATCCATTATTGATGATATTTGCGATCGGTTAAACTCTTGTCTAGTTGATCTAACCGCCTTTTTCACTGTGAGGAATATGAATATATCCGCCACTAAATCTACGGCCACACTTTTCCTTTATACCTTTTTTAAGTCCTCCGCACATACCACACCTACCTGCGACAAGGTCAGAAGAAGGAACAAAGTCTCTGGCCGGCAGAACTTGGGGAGCTGATAAGGAAGCCTTGGTGACCTCTTACAACGGGACAGGCTCATCTGTCGTAAACTATGCGGCTTCGATGTGGCCCGCCAACGTTAGTGCTACGCAGTGGAAAATATTCAGTCTTTCCAGAACGCCGCCCTCAGAACCGCAGCAACAGGGTGCCTCCACATGTCACCTGTCGATCATCTACAGGATAAAATGATGTCAATGTAATACCTGTTTAGGGATTACAGACAGAGCCATCCGAATCATCATCTGGTGGAGAGGCAACCTCCGCCCAGGTATGAAAGGAAAGACAGAGGTATTAGAGGGATCATGCAGGACTGAATAGTTAGCCGCCTCTATTCGCTTTGGGCCCGGATTGACAGCGATGTGTAAAACATTTGCCCAGCTTGTGACACAGACCCACATGACACCCTGCACCTATTTCGCTGCCCAGCCAAACCTACTCTACTATCTCCAGTATCTTGTGGACCCAACCCGTACAAGTTGCGTCCTTTTTGGGACTGGACTTAGAAGCAGAACTCGATTGAGAAGAGTGGAGAACGAATATAGCAGTATGAGCTGCTACAACAACAACCTACCAAAATTTCCCTGTACTACCAATAAGTTGGAAATAATCAAATTTTTTAGCCATTGACTTTTAGCATGTTCCAGAAGAAGAAGTTGTCTTGGGTATTAAAGATCTGATCTCTGTGTCTATCAGCCTTTCCAATGTTTTCAATAGGAATGATGAGAGACTTATCGGTCTGAGTGACTCGGTTGCCCTGCTTTGGGGATATAAGTGACTGTGACTTCTCACCATGATTCCGAGATGTAGGTTAGACACAGAAAAGCTTTGAAAGGCTTGAATGTCAATAGCCCACTTCATTTTGGATAAGCTTACAATTCTGTCAGCCAAATTTTGGTCCCTAGCCGTATAGTCGAGATGCGCTTGAACGGTTTGCCGAATGCTAGTCAACACCCACTTCCCCCGCTGTATTGGTAGCCGGGGAAGTGGGTGTTGGCTAGCAGATTGAGAGTCTCTAGTCCAGAGTCGGTCCATGTTTTATACTTCCTATGGATTTAGGATCTTTCCAAATGACCGCCAAACTGGTTGGCATTTCCTGCCTGGGTAGGTTAGCGGACAGACTTTCATAGCAATCAGCAAGGCATTTGTTATCGCATTTACGGAGTTGTCTATATCGAGGGTTGAGGTTAAGACCAGTGAAGCCTAGGTTTAGCCAGATCCGCAAATTTGTCCCAATTTGCCTTCCTTGGGTTTCTATGAGGTTTCTGATGAATTCCCTCTACTAAGATTTTGAAAACTATCTTCCGGTGATCTGAAAACGAGCACTCAGGAGAAACTTTCCAGTCTTGTATAAGAGATTCATCCTTGTTAGTAAGGGTGAGGTCAATGACCTCTGCCTGTATTATTGAGATTATATTTCAAGATAAAATCAAAAATGGACTCACCTCTGACATTGGTATCGTTGCTGCCCCATTGGAAGTGGTGTGCGTTGGCATCACAACCCATAACAAGATGCCCTTTACCAGTAAGATCTTTAAGCAGCTCCTCTACCTCGTGGTCAGTGGGTCAGGTCGCTCATACGGTAGGTTGTCTGTTCTGAGGTTGAGGTTTTGCTTGTCAGGATGCGTGCGGGACCCACAGATCGTGGTGGAACCCAAGCTGTCAATACCTTACGGCAGGGGATATCCTTTAAGGATACAGCCGCCAGATCACAGTTTTGCCAAAGATCGCGAAATCCAGATACTGCGGTTACTAGGTAATACTTAGATTCCCGGTTTTCACAGCACATTACTTTTACGCCCTTGTAATGGGTTGCGCTGCCGAACTGCATTCTTTTCGGGTCACCTTGGACATCCCAACAGGACTCGGCACCACCACAATGGCCACCAAAATCACCGGATACCAATCCGTTTTACTATTGTATCTGGAGTATTTTGGAAAGCAAGGATGACACTAAAAAATACCAAATTGTCGATTACCTCAAGCAAGCGCTTCGGCGGGAATGGTCCAAAATACCACAGAGAACATTCGGGCAGCGTGTGACAGTTTCATTGGCCGTTTGAAGACCATAATTCGTGCAAAGGTGACCAATTCGAACAAAGCTAAACTTATTCTAAAATTTGATGCTATTTCCGAAATTTTTTGCTTTCATTCAATAAAATTTAAAAAACTGTAAAAATAATGGCGTTTGACTTTGTTGCAGTTTTTTTATCTCACCCTGTATAAGCTTTTAAAAAAGACGGCTCAAAAGTCTAGCATCGAAGAATCTGGCACTTGGAAACCGATTGGGAGGTACCTATGGCCATTTGGCCGGTAATCTCGAGGATAATGCTCCCTTATATCAAGTAGTAGGCCTGAACTTAGAATCGCGGTATCTCAACTCAAGATGACATAACAGTTGTTGGAGACGTTTGCAAATTCCCATGTTATGAAGCAGGAGACAAATTGTCTCACAATGCAGCTATTGACTCCAGTATATCTGCGCATCCTGTATCCTAGTTTAACGTAATCTAAAAGAAGTCAGTTTATTCCGCATCCTGATGATCATGTTTTTGCGAACCTCCTTGAAAATAGGTTAAAATATTAGACAAATTTTAAAGTGCTGAAAAGAGAAACAACCCCTTTAATTAATTTTCCGACATAGAAAGATATTTCGAAGTATTTTTTTATGTTTTGTTTAAAGAAAATACATAAACGGTACATGCAATAAATTTCATGACAAACATAGCACTTCTTAACTTTGAACAAATCCAACTTTATTTTGGTGGGATACTATATAAAATTATAATTGATATTATAAACGATCGATTTTGTAAACAAAATCGTTTGCTGTTATTTTGTTTTTGTAACATTTTCTTTTCAATTTTGTTTTGTTTTTTATGTTATTAGGACATTGCTGATTTGGTTTCTGATGGTGAATGAATAAATTTGTATTTCGTGTTTTTCATCTGAGTTGCACCTATGACTACATCTTAACAAGCAGAGGAATACCCTGATATACATCAAATGCGTGTTTGGCGTTTCGTCAGTTGCAGGCTTTATTTTTCCTGGTGATTGATGGTGTGTACCGCTCCTTAGTTATCATATTTATGTAAATTGTGTCTTCATTTAATATACGTACCATTCACAGATCTAATCTGTGTCCAATGTGAAGACTTAAGGTAAATGTGGATCATATTTTCCCTCTTAGAGTAAATGTTATGTACAATCTATTGTTTAAATCTAAACAAAACTCACTACATTTTAAAGTGAACAACACTCACAAATGGTATTTTAACTGAAAATTGACAAGAATTTGTTTGCACGAAATAAGTATATATTTGATGTCTTTTAAAATGTACACCTCATTCCAATGACGTGAATATATGTAAACACATTTTAATATATCGTATTAAGTATAAATCTATAAAAACTTTTTACATCAACGCAGAGCATTGTTTTTTATTAGGCATCAAGTATATACTTATTTTTGCAAGCAAATATTGTGAAATAGATAAAAATGAAAAATTGCATATCTATACGACCCACTTAAAACTAAACATTATGTTAATGCAAAAAAAATAGTAACCGCCTTTAAATACATTTAAGAAGTAGATAAACAACTTTGAACCAAAATTAAATGCCAATATTTCCATAAGATAATAGACCGACAATTACAGATAAAATACAACGTATCGATCTTATTTTCCATGTAAAAACGCGTGCAATCAATTTTATAAATTCATATAATTTTTAATTTAAATAGTATAAATTGTAATAAGAGTAGCCAATCAGAGAAAATCGCCAGCATGTCCCATACAAATCATGCACGCCATGCGACTTCATCTGGTGACGATTTAGGAAGTACGGACGAGGTTAAAGTTTTCAAGGATGAAGGAGATCGGGAAGATGAAAAGATTTCATCGGAAAATTTGTTGGAAGAAAAGTCTAGCTTGATAGATTTAACAGAAAGTGAGGAAAAAAGTGGAAAAATAACAACAACATCTGGTCAAAGTCCAGTTTTCAACAAAATTGAACCACACACCTCTACTTATAATATGGGTTACTTAGTATCTCCTTACTCTTATTCCAATGGTTCCGCTGCATCATTACCTGTCACAATGGCAAATAAAATAGGTTTGCCATGCTTTTTAAGTCACAATGGTGATCACCTAAACACACCTCCACCGGCACACTGTGGCATCCCTCCATATCAAATTGATGCAAAATCCATAAATTTGGGAAGACCCGCTATTTACCCGTTTCCCTCCAGCCAGTACCCATATTCTATGATCAGTCCAGATATGTCACAGGTAACGACTTGGCATACACCTTCTGTATACTCAGCTGCATCCAGTTTTAGAAGTCCATATCCTTCTTCCCTTCCTATCAATTCAGCGTTGCCCAGTGACTTCACTTTTCGGTTCTCCCCTAACCTTCTACCTTCAGTGCACACGCCGCAACATCATATGATCGGTACACATTCTACAATTACTCCGACAGGACCGAAACAAGATAACAGTAACGGTACGTTGGTCAACCAACGCTTTACGAAAAATGTTGATAGCAAGAATTCAAAGAACACGCATGGCCATGAAATCAACAAGGACAACTATTCAGAAAAAAAGAAACCCCACATAAAAAAGCCCTTAAATGCCTTTATGTTGTATATGAAAGAGATGAGATCAAAAGTTGTTGCAGAGTGCACCTTAAAAGAATCAGCTGCAATCAATCAAATACTGGGAAGACGGTGGCACGAACTATCTAGAGAGGAACAAAGCAAATATTATGAAAAAGCACGACAAGAAAGACAATTGCATATGGAGTTATACCCAGGGTGGAGTGCCAGGGATAATTACGGATACGTGTCAAAAAAGAAAAAAAGAAAGAAAGATCGTTCGCCCGCTGATTCTGGAGCTAACAATATGAAAAAATGTAGGGCTCGTTTTGGGCTTGATCAACAAAATCAGTGGTGTAAGCCATGTAAGCGAAAGAAAAAGTGTATACGCTACATGGAGTCTATTGGCGTGAACTATAATAGCGTTAAGGAGGAACAGTATGATTTAGACGACCTGGACGGCCAACGGAGCGACGATGACGACATCGATAATGAAAATATTGGTAGTTGTGATAGTGCCGATGATAATACAAAAACGTACGATGAAGATAATGAGTCATTAAATCAAAGTATGTCAAGTCCAAGTGGTTTCTCGAGTTTTCAGAGCCCGCCAACGAGTTTATCAAGCCCTGCTATTGTCCAAAATGCAGATACTTTAATTTCTGTTAGTGAACAAAATCACAATAATTCGAATTTACATTCAATACAGACACAAAATTTACACATAACTTCGCAAAGTAAAATTCAGCAGCACTTTCAACCGTCCACTTCCATGTCTTCATTATGTCCGCAACAAAATTCTGTTTACGAAATTGCTGGTAGTACGCAGAGTTCAATATCGAATTTTATATCAACAATTACATCGACATCCCCATCTTCAACCAAATCAATGTCTTCTTACAGTACTGCAACTACCTCCACAACTATACCAGCTTCCTTATCAGACCGTATGATGCGTTCTCTCCTCACAAGTAGTCCGGCGATGTTACTTGGAAACCGTTTAAGTCATTTAGCTATGGGCCTTGCTATGAATAATAATTGTAGCAATGCAATTGGAACTGCAACTTCAAATATTACTAGCGAAAAAGTATTTAATATATTGGATAAAACTGGAAGAACAGAAGTCGGCACGGCGCCATTAACGAGTAATAAATGTTCAATTACATCGAACGCTGTACTTCAGGGAGATTCTGATAAAGTCGATTCTTCAACACCTTCAGCAATTGTTCACCCCACGAAGTCACCTCTTGTACCCACATGTTTACCTTTACCAGCAACCAGCGTAACAGAGCAGTGTCATTTAATAAATACCAAAACAAATTCCATAATCGCCCCACTTCAGAGAAGTCCTGTAGGAGCTAATCCTAGAGATGTAAACAACCCTCTCAGCGTAAATCAACTTACAAAGAGATCGCACGACGATATTGTTCCAGATGTAAGTAACTGTAACACAAATATAAATGTATCGCAACTACCAAAACAAGAATGTCACATCTTACAGTCTGGAACTATGGGTTTTCAACATACCCATTCTACGCAGCATATCCAACCATCCTTAACGTTACCGCCACCATCACATAGTGCCATATTTAACAATTCGTTCTCTCAACATTTTCAACATAAATTTAATCAAAATTTGGTAGCAACGATTGTTGATAGTGAAACAAATTCTTCAGTGTCTTCAGTTGTCACTCATACAGTCGACAAAAGTCACAACAGTATTAATAATGATAACGATGTAAGCAGAAACCCTTCCACGGATAGGACAACGAATGAAAGTGGTGCCATAAACGTAACATAACCTCTCTTTAAAATTAAAATTATTTTAGTTTCATATTTTGACCACGTAAGAACAAAATTGTTTATGTTTAAGAGTATTACATCCGCAATAGTTTTAAACTATAATTATATTTTAAGTTAAGAATTAGGCTTTAAAATTGAATATGTGAAATATTTCCTTACAATGGGGTATAAAATAAATATATTAGTTTTTTAAAGTTTTAAAATTGTACGCATTCACTTTTTGTGTGGGAAGACTATACATTTTATTTCCACAGGTCAATTTTATTGGGGGTAGGTATGAGGGATATTTTATTACTCATTTGTTCAATTCTTTATTAAACTAATTTATAGGATTAATATCGCATTTTTTCGGCGTTGTCGGTGCATATTGTTAATATAAGGTAAAAGCGCAAATAATATTTGTTGAAAAAATCACGTAATGAGTGGTTTTTCGTTGTTGTTATATACTTTTTTAACGTGGGTATGTGGGGTTTGAACTATTGACAGAATATTTGATGATTTTTTTTATGTTAGAAAACTAAAAACCTATCTAAAATGTAGCACATCTGTAGGACTCAGAAGTTGCATAACATTATTTTCGAGAAATACTGTTATAAAATTGTATTCTTTAAATGTCATAACTAACTATAAATTATACTGAACTTAATTGAATTTACTAAGGCATCCAACGTTTTTAGCCAAATGTTATCATTGGAAACTTCGAGTTATAAACTGATCGACTAATTTTAACACATACAGGGTGAGATAAAAAACCACAACATAGTCAAACGCCATAATTTTAATTTTTTTTACAAAAGCAAAAAAAGCAAACGAAAGCAAAAAATGTCGGAAATAGTATCAAATTTTAGAATAAGTTTAGATTTGTTCGAGTTGATCGTTTTTTGCACGAATTATGACCTTCAAACGGACAATGAAACCGTCACACGATGCCCGAATGTTGCTCTGCGGTATTTTGGCCCATTCCCGGCGAAGCGCTCGCTAGAGGTTTTTTTTTAGTATCAGCCTTGCTTTCCAAAATACTCCAGACACAATAGTCCAACGGATTGGTATCCGGAGATTTTGGTGTTCATTGTGCGTTGGAAATGGAGCGAGGAACCTCATTTTCTTGGGAGGGGCGTGCTGCGATGGTGCTGAGTCTTGTTGGAATGTCCAAGGTCTGCGGCCAAAATGTTTGCGTGCCCAAGGTTTTAATACACCCTCCAGAATATTTTTTCAATATTTGCCGGATGGAATATTGCGATATGTTCAGCTCACGAGTCATTTTTCGGCCATTGCGGAGAAAAAAAATAGATTTTGACAATAATATGTTGCCAAAGGCATAATTTTGAACAAAAAAATGTAAGCATATGGTTCCATGATTTTAATAACTTAGTTCTACAATGGTTAGGACATACCAATTATTCCAAGTTTGGACAATATACATTTTTATACCCTCCACCATACTATGGAGGGTATATTAACTTTGTCATTCCGTTTGTAACTCCTCGAAATACTCATGTCAGACCCAACTGTCTGTCCGTCTGTCTGTTGTAATCACGCTATCTTTCGAACGAATTGAGATAGAAGGCCAAAATTTTGCACACGTGTTTATTTTTCCAGTCCACGTTTTCATATAGCCCCCATATATAAGTACCTCCCGATATTCGGTATTTTGATGATTTTAGCGACATTATTCATTGGAATTGTTTCAAATTTGGTATTTGAAGTTCGAAATGGATACTACAGCCTAAGACAGATTTATCCGAGGCGAATACGATGTCCTTCCGTTATATAATAAGGGTCGTGTAACTACATACATATGCAAGGTGGCGCAAAAGTAATCCTCCTATCAGAAAATGATATAAATTTTACGATTGGCTCCTAAGGTCAGTTCAGTTTTGCATTTTTTCAGTAAACACATGCGAAATACACGTTAATAAACAATGTTACTCTACACTGCTCCAGTCTCTATCCTCATGGTTGTGGTTAATCAATCTGCACTAGAATACAGGTAAATGCATCAACGCTTGAGAAAATTGATCAATCAAAATATTTTTTACATGTTTTTTTTTCTTCAAAAATTAGTAGGTTTTTAGAAGTTTTCTTATACTACACCAATCGGAGGTTGCAATGATATGCATTTTTCATTGTTTTTATAAATTTGAATATTTTTTCATTAAAAATTTTCAAAATTGTTTGACAGTTCGCTTGTCCGGCTGTGATGCTGCCAGCTGTGATGATGTGACTACCTGTATTCTTCTACCATGGTACAAATACAATTCTTTTCTAATTGTGTCCGACTTCTGCCGATTTTGTGCATGTATGTAAAATCCAGGCAATTTAAATATGTATGTACCCAGCTAACAATTTTTTCCGAGGGCTCTGATGTCCGATTTTTTGTCGAGATTTTCTGCCGTTTCTTCAGAAAAGTTTCCGAGTAATCTGCACATACTCGTTTCTTTTGTTTTGTTTGAACAAAACAAAGCTAAAGAGAGAAAAAAAAAAGCATATACAGAGAGTTAACTCTTTTTTGGCGAGAATTTCTAATGTTACTCCAGAAAAGTTTCCGAGTAATCTGCACATACTCGTTTCTTTTGTTTCATTTGAAAAAAAAAAAAAACACAAAAATTCTGACATTAGCAGAGAGTTAACTTTTTTCTGTTGAGATTTATTCTACCGTTCCTTTCGAAAAGTTTCCGAGTACTCTGCACATGCTCGGTTGAAATTATTTGAAGAATTTTGTGTATACAATTTTTTGGTTTTTTGATTATGATCAGTTTGTCGTCAGAATTTGAACGGAGCACGAGTGCAGTGTGTTGCAGTGAAAAGTTAAAATGAAAATTAAGGGAAGATTTGGACCTTCAGTACCTTATGGTAAGTAAGCACCTTTCTACAATTACTACTTTTATCAATATCTTGAATTGTTTAGGACATCTATTTTATTAGGCTCGTTAAAGGTTTGTATCCTTGTGTTTTAAACTCTTTGATAATATAAATAATATTTTTTTCATTTTTATTATTTAGATGCGGCATTGGAACATATTCCGGGAACTATGGGAAGTGCCATATACAAGTGTATGCATTGGAAGCAATGTAGTTGTTGTGGACAAAAAAATCCATCACTACAAAAACAAAACATTGCTGTGAAAAAGATCTGCCAATAGAACTTGAGTCGAACCTGGAGAGTTTCTAGTGTATAATTCGCATATGCTAATTTGCAATAAGTTCGAAATATATACAACTTTCCAGAGAACGGCCCTTGTAAGCCATCATCCACGCCAAATATGCCTGATGAGCCGCTTAACCAACGGCGAAACGCGTCGCATAGTGGTGAGTGTGTGATAGTGTCTATCTGGCTTTCCTTTTCACCGCAAATTTCTGATCATTAAGCTCGCCTCGAAAGAGAAAACAAACACATAAAAAAAAATTATAATTAATCATGAATGCACCTAGTTTAAAGGTTCATGAGTGTCTAAACTGTACATAGAATTCTCTTATCTGAATCACCATGTCTACAGTTTGAAGTCTGTTAATGAACCACCTTTTTTGCTGAACAAATATTGAATTACCATCATAATAACAAGGAATATGGTTTGTTTATTCATAGATACAAATAAAAACCAGTAAAGAAAGTTTAAAAGGCGGGCGGGTCAAATTTATATTGGGAGTTAATATGTTACCAATTATGAACTGCTTTAGAGCAGTTTTAATTGGGAATCAGAGGGAACTAATATATGGGACATACATCCAATTCAGAGTCGATTTCCACCAAATTTGACGAAGGTATTTGTATTTCTTGTACCAAATAGCATAGATATAAAGTGAATATGACGAAAAGGATTATATGAGAAATTCGGTTGAATGTACAAAAATCCATTCAATTTGGGCTGATATTAACCATTTGGTGATTTATTTATTGGTGGTTGATTTATTTGTTTTTTTTGTGAGTAACCAAAGGAACAGAAACGATTATGCCGCCCACCAAGACATTAAGGACAGTATAGGGTAGGTTATGTAATGTCAAAGGATGCGCGGTTGCTTATAACAACCTATTCACACGGAGACCTGCTGCTGGTCCATTGTGTTCATCCAAAGTGTAGAGATTAGTAGTTAAAGAGATGAAAAATCCACGAAGAAGCCATTTTAGTCTTCTGGCTAACTGAAGAATAACTGCTGGCCTGGTTTCGGAGAATGAAAACCAGTCGTGCAAAATTTGCTTAGCCACAAGTGTCTGTCTAGCACCAAAAATAATTGGACATTATCGTAGTAGGTGCTCTACCGTCATATCGGATGTCCAGTGATTGGAAGTTTAGCATAGGTGATACATAATTACTGGTTGTAACCCGACCTCCTATGTTCCCCACATACTTTAAAATGACAAAGTGTCCAAAGGACTGACTGTGCCATTGCCCTACATAAGTTAGAATCGGGCGGATAATTTACACATATATCCATTTTATCATACGCGGTTTAAGCCCCCAGCTATTTCCTATAGAGTTGCAAGAGCAGAGTGCGATTAAGTCCCTCTTAGAGCGTTCCTCAATATTCCTCTTCCAGTTTAGTCGCTGGTCGAGGACATTACCGATATATTTGGCTTCTGACACAACGTGACTCCATCCAGCAAAGGTGGCAAAAACTCGGGGAGTTTCCGCTTCCTTGTGAAGAGAACGAGCTAAGTTTTAGCTGGGTTCTCGCAAAGTCCATTGTCGTGTCCATCTTTATAGTTTCCCAAGAGTTCCTTGCATTAGATCTGAATTGGTTTACAGAAATTTCCCTGCAATCAGCAGAACCACATCATCAGCGTATGCTACGACTTTAGTTCCGGTTTGTTTCAGATCTTTTAATATATCATTTATCGCCAAAAGCCAGAGTAGTGCTGACAAAACCTCTCTTTGTAGTATATCCTAGTAACTGATCTCCTGACGGAGCACTCTCCGACGCGTGTATTGGTGATACTGCTACTAAGCATAACATCGATCCACTCAGTGAGGAGTAGTGGTATACCGAGTTTTGTAAGAGAACCATGAATTGCCTCAAGTGCGACATTATTAAAGACCCCCTCAATGTCGAGGAAGAATAATCATAAGCCATTCAGGTTCTTCTATATGTAATCCACAACGTCGTGCTGCGCAGTTTCAACAGATTTACATTTCATGTGGGTGTTTATTGAGGTCGTAGGTAATATATCTCAATATCCATTGGCCTTTCTAGAGATTTCAGTAGA